ACTTATTGTTTGATGATTATTAGGTTACTTATTATTTAATGATCATTGGGTGACTTATTATTTGATGAGCATTAGGTTACTTATTGTTTGATGATTATTAGGTTACTTATTATTTAATGATCATTAGGTGACTTATTATTTAATGATTATTAGGTTACTTATTATTTAATGATTATTAAGTTACTTATTATTTGATGATCATTAGATTACTTATTGTTTGATGATCATTAGGTTACTTATTATTTAATCATCATTAGGTTACTTATTATTTAATGATTATTAGTTGAGTTATTATTTAATGATCATTAGGTTACTTATTATTTAATGATTATTAGGTTACTTATTATTTAATGATTATAGGTTACTTATTATTTAATGATTATTAGGTGACTTATTATTTAATGATCATTATGTTACTTATTATTTAATGATTATTAAGTTACTTATTATTTAATGATCATTATGTTACTTATTATTTAATGATTATTAGGTTACTTATTATTTAATGATTATTAAGTTACTTATTATTTAATGATCATTAGGTTGCTTATTATTTAATGATCATTAGGTTACTTATTATGTAATGATTATTAAGTTACTTATTATTTAACGATCATTAGGTTACTTATTATTTAATGATTATTAAGTTACTTATTATTTAACGATCATTAGGTAACTTATTATTAATCTTTTTCAAAGAAATCATCAGGTAAACATCGTAACAAACACCAGAACAATACAAAATAAATTACGCTCCTCTCTGTAGCCTTTTATTTGGCGGCCTGTTCGAATGATTGGATACGGAGCATAAAAGAGAATTAGTCGCTTCTCACGATTCGACGCGATAAAACTGAAAAATGAATTGTTCAGGTAATACAGGAAACACGGTGTTCTTTCGGCCGTTTCTGTTACCGCGTATTCGTGATTGCAAAATATCGACGAACAATCCAGACAATGCGTGCTAAATATTTATCGCCAACTGTTCATAGGGGCACGTATTCTTTCGGGGTCGACGAACGACCATCAGGTCTTCCGATACTGATTGTCAGTCACGATACCGGACACGTCACGCGAATAGTAACCGCAGTCAATTTTTTTCCGAATTCATATAATTTTCGTTGACAGACGTTTCTTCTAACCCCTCTTGCATAATGATAGTAATCGACGATTCGAGATGTTGAAAACGTTGGTTCGCTGTTATAAGTATTACAGGTTTTCGCTTATAATATTATTAGGAGATTACGCAAAGTAGACTGGGTGCACGGATTCGTAGGTGTAAGACGCACCTGATGTGTCATGGTCTGATGCCCATAAGACGCAACAGGTGCGTCGTTACTTCTGCACATGGTATGCTTTACAGATTGCAATGTAAATACCATAAGACGCAACTGGTGCGTCGTTGCTTCTGCACATGGTTTGCTTTTACAGATTGCAATGTAAATACCATAAGACGCAACTGGTGCGTCACTACTTCTGTACGTGGTAGCAATGCAATTTTCTACATAAAAATCTTTGTATACTTTTTCTCCATACATTGTGTATTGAAATGAATACCACGTACATAATATAATATATATGATAAGTTGATTGACGTTCCTAGAGATACTTAGGCGACGCACCTGGTGCGTCACTAATTTTCTGACGTGTAACAGTGCAATTTTCTACATGAAAATTTTTGTATATTTTTTACATTGTGTATTGAAATAAATGTCATGTATATAATATAATATATATAAGTTGATTGACGTTCCTAGAGATACTTAGGCGACGCACCTGGTGCGTCACTAATTTTCTGACGTGTAACAGTGCAATTTTCTACATGAAAATTTTTGTATATTTTTTACATTGTGTATTGAAATAAATGTCATGTATATAATATAATATATATAAGTTGATTGACGTTCCTAGAGATACTTAGGCGACGCACCTGGTGCGTCACTAATTTTCTGACGTGTAACAGTGCAATTTTCTACATGAAAATTTTTGTATATTTTTTACATTGTGTATTGAAATAAATGTCATGTATATAATATAATATATATAAGTTGATTGACGTTCCTAGAGATACTTAGGCGACGCACCTGGTGCGTCACTAATTTTCTGACGTGTAACAGTGCAATTTTCTACATGAAAATTTTTGTATATTTTTTACATTGTGTATTGAAATAAATGTCATGTATATAATATAATATATATAAGTTGATTGACGTTCCTAGAGATACTTAGGCGACGCACCTGGTGCGTCACTAATTTCGTGCTGTGTAACAGTGCAATTTTCTACATAAAAATTTTGTATATATTTTCTCCGCACATTATGTATTGAAATAAATATCACGTACATAATATAATATATATGATAAGTTGATTGACGCTCCTAGAGATAGGCGACGCACCTGGTGCGTCACTGATTTCATGCTGTGTAACAGTGCAATTTTCTACATAAAAATTTTGTATATCTCTTCTCAGCACATTATGTATTGAAATAAATATCACGTACATAATATAATATATATGATAAGTTGATTGACGCTCCTAGAGATAGGCGACGCACCTGGTGCGTCACTGATTTCATGCTGTGTAACAGTGCAATTTTCTACATAAAAATTTTGTATATATTTTCTCCGTACATTGTGTATTGAAATAAATGTGATGTATATAATACAATATACAAAAGTTGACTGACGTTCCTAGAGATAGGCGACGCACGCGGTGCGTCATTAATTAAAAATTCATCAAAGCGTTCCATCGATGTAACGTAATAGTCGGCCATTAAGCAGGCGGCTATTAACGCGTCCCGTTTAAAATAAGAGCGAAAAAGAATTGGATCGGGTGATCAGGAGCGTGTAATTAATACGAGTCACGGCTTAAGATGCCTCCAAGGTCCGAGCCGTTGAAAGTTCGAACCGCCCTGGACCCGGCGACTCGTCGACAAAAATAGCATTCGTTAAAAATTCACGGCTACGGAACAGGTTTGCGCGATCTCGTTACGCCGAAAGCACGCTCGCGTAATCGCGCGAGTTCAGGCTCGATTGGAGCTTCGTATTCGGTGTCTAACGAGGATCCTCGCCGAAGCGGCGGCTATTATTTAAACACGGTTATTAACCGTTAGACGATCTTGAAACTTCGGTCTTTTTAAATCGAACTTTGGCGAGCAACAAGCTGTGTCAGTGTCATTTTATTTCAGCTTTTGTGCTGGACAGAAGCCAGCGTTAAACTACCAAACCGGTCAAATGACCGCTCCGCAAGCTTCTTATTATAAGGAATTTTGTTAAAATACATTTCTTGAAATCAGAATTCATTTTCATGAAGATAAAGAATAATTTATGTTTTGTCATTTGTTTATTTATTTTTTAGTTTCATATTAAGTACACATTAGATGTCGGTAGGTTTAGTGTTAACCCTTTGCGCTCGAGAGGTGACTGTCACCATTTTATTTAATAAAATAATTTGAAACAAGCATTTTTAAACTGATTCTATAATATGACATGTGTGATGTATAAACATAATGAAACAAAAAATAGTGGAAATTATTAGTGGAGAAATAATAACCTCAAAAAAATTCATTTAACTTTTTAACTAAGTTTTGAAGTTGCTGTTTGAAAACAGTCAAATTACCTTCGAGTGCAAAGGGTTAAATGTACGTTGAGAAACGGTTTCGAGCTCCATCGAATTTTGCAAAAATTTAGTTCTTCCTCGACGGATACTGACCCAAATGTTATAGCAGGAAATTTTGGAGGAAAACAAAGGATCCGAAAAAAATGTCGCGGAAGATATTGGGCCGTAATAAAGGCAGAAATATGCACGCTATTGTTCCATTAGCGGAGCGGGAAGGACGAGCGGAAGTAACGAGAACGTTAATTCCGTGCCGAGTACGACGACAAATTAATTGAAGCGAGTTGGCGCAGCGACCTGGCACAATGAGAAGTAGAACGAGTAAGATAAAAAAGAAAAAGAGGAGGAAAAAAAAAAGGAAAGGTGGAAGAAGCGAGCGAGTAGAAGGCAAAAGGAGATCGCGTAAAGGCGGTAGTAAATTTATTCACGAGAAACACCATTCATCGCTTCATTCACTCGAGTTTCCTTTCGGGATTCGTTGTCTTCGTGAATGAGTCACTCTGTTACAGACGATCGTGTGGGAGAAACAGAAATGTCAGTGACTCGGGTTCGGCCCTTGCGAAAGATCCGCGAGCGGAATCGCGAGCCGGGAATCAGCGTTTCTTCCTTTCGACTATTCTTTCTTCGATACAGTAGACTCTCGTTTTATCGTCATCTCTGCAGGGACAGCTATTTTACAGACGTAGGATATTTCGAAATTTTCATTCTGATATACGGAAGGAGGCAAACAATTTATACCTGACACTGGTTAAACAGTAACACATTGACTGCCATATTGAAACAATTGAAAATTGCATCAAATAGCATCTTAATTTTTAATAAATTTTATCAAATATTTTCACAATGTCTCATTACGTTTCTTTTCTATAAATGCATGTAATTAACGCAAGAATTTTTTATGGGGAAAGTGAAC